TGAAGCCTTGTATGCAAAGAGGAGCAAATGGCTGCTACAGATACCACTAATGGCATTATTTCCCCAAACCCAAATAGTATCACTGCAGTTTCCAGCTGCATTTAATGATCTCAGATACCTGAGCAGAAGTTCAGGGTCACAGAGTTGTTATTATGTTGTCACCTTAATGATTCCACAGTCTGCCTGTAGTATCCAGAACAAATTTAAATGCTGGATATCTCTTCCTTAATAAAACAATGTTAAATCTGTTATTTAAAACCCATCCGTCAAATTTGGTATAAATTGCTTTCCTGCTTGGGGATGAAATGGCAAAATGAGTGGCAAAAATTTATTGGGTGCCAATTTTGTAGGAGTCATTATTTCCTATCCTTTGAAAACTTGCATGCTAATAATTAGGTGGGGGAAGACACAGATGTATGAAATATTAAGTAATATTACATTTAAATAGAAATTCGAGAGAAGAAATAACATGACATAAGGTCAGTGATGGGGAGTTGTACAGGTGAGATGGCCAGGTGAGATGGCCAGGTGAGAACTGGGTGCCAGATCTGGATCAGTCTGTGCACAGATTGGGCCAGATCATTGACAACAGAGGACCAGCCTCTGAGGTCTCATGCCTTAGATATCCCTCTTCAAATCCTTGGTTCCCGTTTCCACCCAGAGCTGGGAAGAAGCTCTGGCAATCCTACTCAGATGTCTTTAAATAACTGGTCACTTCAGTGGCACATGGAAGAAGGTCACTTCCTTTGGCATTTCAAGGCACACTTGGCTCTTTGAGAAAGAAGCTGTGCTTCCTTGCTAAGAAAGGGCTAGGGGTGCCTGCCTCTGTTTGTGTGGGTTAAGCAAGGTGATGGAAAGCAGCACCTGGCAGATAGCATAGACACTCAGTATGGTTAGCTGAGTGCTCTCTGGACAAGACATTCACCTGTGAAAAGAGCAACACTGAGTTTATGTTACAGTCCAAGGAAACCCCTCAGAAGCAGGTTTCTAATGCTCATGCTTGCTCCAAGATCACTTGAGCCTCCAAAATGTTCTGGTGCTGTAGCTTTAGGATGTTGATCATGGGCGTGATGGTGACTTAGACTGGGCCACTGGTAAGTGTTGGGAACCCTGGAGCAGAGGACTGAAGGAGGCTGCCTTCCCTCCCCACGTTCACCAGCATATACAGGCAAGCAGTGAGCTGCAAGGACCTGGAATCAGAATGCCCGTACTTGATACCTTTATGTTCCTCTTTTCTCTGGTTTATCTATTCTCATATCTATTCCCATATTTTACAAGTTACTTCCTTAGCCTTGTTTTCTTTGTCTAAATAGATTGACAACAATATCTATTTTATAAAGGTCAAAATGAGAGGATGCATGTAGCAGTGGATACCATAGTGATTGGGATGTCAGAAGTGCTCAGAAAATGTTGGTCTTGACAGAAAAAATTCTCTGGGTTTCTGGTGACTGCCCTATGCTAGGCTCTGTATCAAGGACAATGGAATGCAATGATAATAATTTTGAGAACAGTAATAGCAGCTAACAGTTGTCCAGGGCTTACTGTGTGCCAGACCTTCTACATACTCCTTAGGTCCTTTGACAACTGTATGAGGTAAGTGAAATTTAGTCCCAGGAGTCTGAGACTCAGGATGTCTAATAAACTTGCTCTCTGACTTCATGATCTGATAGGGGAAACAGGCTTACAGACAGTAACAGCCTAGAATTATATTCACAAACATTTCTCAATAAATCTTGGCTCCCATCCCCTCTTTCTTTTTGTCCCCATTACTAGGAAGTGTTTTCCTAATGCTGGCCCATCAGAGACATTGCAAGCTATATCTTTGCAAACCAAGGGTAGGCAGTAGCATTGATGTGATTTTGTATGAAATTTCTCTGTTCTGTCCCGACACTCTTTTCTTTCACCTCATTTACACTAAGCCCAGATTTGCCAGACCTTTGAGCCCACACCCCAAGCTGACTGAGTGGTGGAGCCAGGGAGTCGTGCTGTGCCCTCCTGTCCACACGCTGCCCACTACCATGTGGGTTTATTAGCACGAGTATGTAACTGGGGTACTTGGAGGTCAGCGTCTTGTGTGATAGAAGACTCCTCTTTCTTGGCAGACATACTTTTTCTGTGTTCTCACACCATCATTAAGGACTTAGTTGGCATCAAAAAGACCGTGGCATCTGATTTTTGCCTCTCTTCTTGGTTTTCCTTTTAATTATTACATACCAGGAAGAGATGTCTGAGAAAATGGCTCATTGTTGACCATAAGTGACTTCCCAGAGTTAAATTAATGTTGGAGGTGGAAGCCCCACCCCAAGGCTCCCAAGAGCAGAGCCGCCCACCTCTGCCTCCAAGACTAGCAGTGTTTATCCCTGGTCTTGGGTGAAGTGTGAAAGGAATGTTTAGGAGGTAAAAGTGGGTTTCGGCCTCTGACTCAAAGGCAGTGGTGTAATATGGTATGTGGGCTCTTGTGAAGGTAACCTCTTTCCATGGAAAATGCACTGTAGGGGTCTGCAGCCTGCAGGAAACACTTACTCAGTAACAGGTCTGTGCAGTTTTGGGTCCATGCCTGATAGTTCCTGTGACCTGGGGTGAAAGCAGGGCCCAGTGGCCTTTCATTCTCGGGATGATTTGGATCTCCTTGTATACATGAGAGGACACATATATTCACACACACACACACACACTTCAGTGTGGAAGGGACACAGATTTGTCAAAATGCAGAAATGTTTTACTCTAAAGATGTGGCCAAGTAGTGTGTAACAGGTATGTAGAGAGTAATGAGAGATGGTTTAAAGTCTTTCCACTGACGACATTCCCTTCCAAAATCTGAAGCCAATTGGAAGGTAATGTTCACTTATGGAATAAAGCTTTGTGTTCTACAGTTCTTCATCTTGCCTGGGAGACTTAGATGTCAGTTACTTTAACATGAAATAGAAGGGGCTCCTAGACTGCAGGCAGAGTAAATCCACTTGGGAAGTGTCTCCTGAACCCAGATAGAATGCTCTAAGCAGGGCCTGAAGATAGGTACTATAGTATCATCTGCTGGTTTTATCTTTGGTCATCTTTATGAAGAAATGAATATCTGCATAATGAGGGCCAAAGTGACCCTTGTCAAATTTTCTTCTGGAGTTTGACATTTAGCTGCTAGTAGCTGGCATTCAGAGGAATCCTGACTGTGAGTAATGCTTATGAAGTGAGAGATGTGGAGGCTGGTAGGGGCCAAAACCACTCCAACAAATACATGCAAAAGGAAAATACAAGGCCTGGTGACCTGCTGGGAAAAACTGGGGTAGTTCTGTGGGCTTTGGTTATAGATGGCCACCAGTTATGGAGGGTAACACATGTAACTGTCACTGATTAGAAGTAGCTGGATCTCCAGAGGACTCTGCTCTTTGACACAATACTGATGGGTGTTTGTGTTGCTGCTAATTCTTACTTACACTTCATCTCCATTTCCCAGATGGAGGTTCACAAGAAAACCAGTTTTCCTGTCTGAACAAAAGAGGCAGCTGTGGTTGGAGAACTAGACTTCAAGACTATTTGCTGTTTATGCCTGTGCCTATAAAAATTGTCTTTGGCCGGGCACAGTGGTGTACACCTATAATCCCAGTGACTCAGGAGGCTGAGACAGGAGGATCATGAGTTCAAAGCCAGCATCAGTAACTTATTGAGGCCCTAAGCAACTTAGGCAGATCCTATCTCTAAATAAAAAATAAAAAGGCTGGGATATGGCTCAGTGGTTAAGCACCCCTGGGTAACAAACAAACAAACAAACAAAAAAGTTGTCTTTGGAGGCCCTGGGCTTAGATTGAAAGAAAATGCAGGTTAACAGAATAATGGGGAAGGAATTGTTAGGGAGTAGAGACAGGAGATAGACATCTGTTGTTTCAGATATAAGTGCTAATACCAGGAGTTTGAGCCTTTAAGAGACACCTCATGAGTTCTTTCTAACATGACTAAACTGGTCTTGATCTCCAGACCTCCTCAAAACAAGTCTCTACCAGACTTTCCCATTTCATCAAATAGTAGCCCTATTAATTTGCACAGAACCCAAAATTGAGGAATAATTTTTATTTCCCTCACTTTCTTTCTCCCCGCCTTGATATATATACATATATAAAATGAACCCTAAGTCTCTCAATTGTTTCTCTTCTTGCTTTGACTTTGTGAGTTCTCATCATACTCACCTAGGCCACACCTGGGCCTCTTCTTTGGACTCCATGGTCTCTTGCCACTGTGCAATACGTTCTGCGCACACCACTCCTGGCAAAGGCAGGTCCCCCACTGGCCTCTGTACCCTCTAAGGGGAAGTCTAGGGCCTTGTCTCACGAAGGCCCCTGCCCCTGTCTCTAGTCCTGTCTTGCAGTGTTGCTCGCTGGCTGTGCTTTACACCACCAGGCTTTCTCCCACTTGCTCTTGCCAGTGCTGATTCCTGCCATAGACCCTGGGTACTAGCTGATCCTCTTACCTGGCATCTCTTTCTCCCACTTCTTTACCTCTCCCACCCAAACCACTGGTATCTTCTGATTTGTTTGAGCTCAAACTTCTGTATCTCACTCTGTTTATTTACTTATTTATTCACAGTGCTGGGCATTGTACCCAGGATCTTGTCAACACCAGGCAAGCACTGTACCACTGAGCTGTGCCCTGTCCCTAACTTCTCTATTCTTTGATGAACCATTTTACTTTCTGATTCTCAGCTTTGTTCTGCAGTTTGATGGCTCACCTGTGCCTGTGTTGTTCTCCTAGAAGGTAAGCTTCTGAGAGCAGGAACCCGGTCTGTCTTGTTCACTGGATCCCCAGCAGCCAGCACAGTGCTGATTCAGAGGGAACACAGCAAATAATATCTGCGGGATAAGTGGTGGAGCTTGTTGCTCAGTTGAGCACTGGGAAGTGCATTGGTGACCTCTGACAGTGGAAGCCATGACAATACATATACTGGTGGGGCTTCCTTCCTACTCCCACCACTTCCCCTGGGGTCTGATTGCTGGTCTTCTGTTCCCTTGCAGCCGCCCATGCCAACTTCCGTTCCCGTCGACCGTGCAGCAGCACAGCCCCATGTCCTCTCAGACCTCCTCCGTCAGTGGGCCACTGCACTCTGTCTCCTTGCCACTTCCACTTCCGATGACCTTGGCGGCTCCACAGCCCCCGCCTTCCGCCTCCCCCAGCCAGCAGCTTGGTCCAGATGCATTTGCGATTGTGGAGCGCGCCCAGCAAATGGTGGAGATACTAACTGAGGAGAACCGAGTGCTTCACCAGGAGCTTCAGGGTTACTACGACAATGCCGACAAGCTCCACAAGGTATGGTATGTGACATCCCAAGCCAAGGGGTCAGAGAAGCTTCTCTGGAGGGAACAGGATCCTCTACCTGCTCCTGGGTGTCTGTCGATTGGCTGACTCACTTGCTGGTGTTTAACGAGGCCCCTTTTTATGCCAGGCATTGTGTAAAGCTTTAGGGAGACAAAAATAAATATGACCCAGTGCCTTTCTTGGAGGAACTTACAGTACTATAGGGGTGAGAGAATTGGGAAACCTAATGCCTGCAGGAGAGGTGCAGCTCAGGTGGCTCTGGTTGAGGCCTCAGAGGCTAAGTAGGATTTCCTCAGATGGACAAATGTGGAAGAGGGAACACAGACAGTAACACAGGAATGAATTGAGAGACATCAATTTTCCTTCATATGTGGGAATCTCAGGAACCTTGCGATTGCTTTGTCTGTCTCATCAGCAGGCTAATGCAAAAAGCAACATCGCCTGGACGCTCCAAGAGCAAGAGTAGGGGTTATTGTATGCTTTCCCTTGTGCTCACCACTGATCAAGTGGGAAAATGCCAAGTAATTCCAGCCTGTGTAGACATCATGGCGATATTAGAAAGTGAGACAGCCTTCATCCTTAGAGCATTATGCTAAGAGCCAAAGAAATTAGAACATCATCCAGCAAGAACAAATTGTTACAAGTCTTTGATTTCTTGGTGACCCACATGTCTGTGTCTCATGTACTGCAGGAAGTATGGAAGAGAAAAGAGGGGCAAAGGTAATGGGGTGTTTTAGGGCAGGAGAGCCACAGGATGCTCAAATTTCTTTTTTGGACCCAAGAAGTATGTGTGGCAGCTGGGATCTAATGAGTGTAAATGCCTGTCCCTGTCCCTGGAATAAGGCACTTCTGTAAGGAGCTAGGGTAGAAAAGTAAATTCCACCTGACTCCAAGATTGTCCCTTTGACTCCATACGACAATTGATAAAAATCATGGCTAGATCAATTAGTGTTCATTATTGATTTCACAGGTAAGGCTGAACTTTTGGTAGTCAGGGTTTTGGTTTGTAGGCCTTTCTCATTTTCCAATGGCTGGCAGTAAAAAGCTGGGAGCAGAGGATTTAAGAGTGCAAATGATCACCTACAATCTGCCCCAGCATGTTGGTGTGGAATTTCCTCTGAAAGGGTCTGGAGCTCCCAGAATCAAGACCAGACTTGGCTCAGGGAGCTCTGGCTGCCTTTATCAGAAGGAAGATGACAGCCACAAACAAATAGTGCTGCATGAAGATGGTGGCCCCATTCCCACCTCCACTTGAACCCTTAGAAGTTGGGAAACCAGTGTGTTGTCTCCTGGCTGTTTGCCTGTAAGCTGCTGCTCAGGCCCCAGCTTGCCTCTGACTCCTCCCAGGGCAGCTTCTTGGTATGGCCTGAAAACTGGGAAGGGCCCACTCAGCACTTTTGGGAAACACATTTTTCTTTATTCTTCCCTAATGGAACTCTGTGGTAGATGTGTCCAAGAGCACTGCAGACTCCCTGAAGACAGTTTGGTGCTGGGTCTCTTCACAGGGATATTGTGGAAGAGTTCCATGGACAGTGTAGTACAGAAAGATCAGTGACTTTTTAAAAAAATTAATATATAGGGGTTTTTTGTTAACCAATAACATACATCTGTTTCTGATTTTGTTGCAAATTTATTTATTTTTTTTTGAAAAATAAAATCACTTAATCTCCCAGTGCATCAATTTCCTTGCACAGAGGAAGATGCTTAGAATTTGTGGCCAAAAGGATTCAGATGGCTTCTGAAAAGGGAGACAAGTTAAAAGCTATCTTCCTTCTGGAAACCCAAACTCTTTCATTCCCTAGAATATTATAAATGGCTCCATGAGTACCACAATTTTATTGATCTGTCATCTGTCAAGCTAGAATTGTCAATTTAAAACCTCAGATCTTGTGAGATCCTTGGCGTACTCCTCACTAGTTCTATAGTTGTTCTCAAAGATGGGACTGAGACCCAGGAGAGCTCTGTGAGCTTGGTGTTGTGACATTTTCTGCCATGTGTCCCAAAGGCCATCCCTGTTCCGGAGTTTTCCTCACCATTGTCCTCACTGCTCAGTGTGCTCGGCATCTGCTTAAGTTTTAGGTCTGGGCAGAGGATGGTGGGCCGAGGCAACAACTCCGCTTCTCGGTAATGATAGCTGCTAGTTTCTTGGCATGGATGTGATGCCTACTTTTTAGGTGGGCCTGCCAGGATGTAGGATGTGGCCATGCTATGCCCACAGTATCATTCCATCTGAGACCCTCATAGCATTGGGAACACTTTGGCCCTCACAGAGATTCATTTTAAGAGCAAAACCAAAAATAGATGAATTTTTAATTGCAGAGCTTAGCATATGCATTTTGTGCCAGGAACATGGCCGAGAAGAATGATTAAATTCAGAGGCTGCCAGAGCCCGGCCTCGTCACGAAGGCTCTGTTTCCAAAGAGGCACAAGGTAGTAGTTATCACTGTTAATGTTGGAAAGATGGTTAGGGGCTCCCAGAAAGAGCTGTTGTTTTTGTTTTTCCTTTTGGTTACTCCTTTTGCTTCTCTTTCCTCCCTGTTTCTCTGAAACTTAATTAATGGACAGAGTTTCCAGGAGGACACCAGGCTGTGCACTGTTGAATTGTTGGCTTCAGAAACTATCAGGGACATCAGGAGGGGAAGGGATGAGCATTTTTGGTCATCCCAGGCTTGCACTAGTGAAGACACTCTTCTTTTGTGAGGGAAACCACGGAGGCTTTGATGGTGCAAGTCTATGGCTTGAACAACAACAGCCTTTCTTTGGTTTTAGGCATCCCTGACGGTTCTCAGGGGAAAAGCACACACCTGGAGCTTAGAATGGCTGAGATTTTCTCAGGGTCCTCTGTTGGTTTGCGTGATGACAACAGCATCTTTGGAAGCTGTCAGGGCGTCTCACTCTGCTTCGTAGCTCTGTTTCTGGGACACTGAGTACTTCTCTCTTGCCCAGCCTCAGGGCTCTCAGGCTGCGGGGAGGACAGCAGCTGTGAAGGCCAACTTGACCTTCCCTCTGCGCACCAGACCCAGAACCTAAACAGCCCTGGTGGTTTATGTCAGAACCAGCTGTCCAGTCTTCTCATCTTCATAAATGTCAGGGGGGTTTAAGATGTTCTGGACATGGAGGGTCTGAAGAAGGTTTTTACTCTGAAGGAGGTACAGTCACAAAGAAAAGAACTTTAGATATAAGATTCTTAAAATGAATCCAGTCTAACTTTCTACCCCTTAGGAATCCTTGCTTCATGTCCCTAAAAGGAGGCCTTTTCTTTTTTACGAGTATAATTGCAAAAAAAGGAGAACTCACTACTGGGTGAACTATACTTCTGGAAAATATAATTAGGAAACTCTTCCTTGTGTTGGATCAAAGTCTGCATCTCTTCAACTTCCCCATATTTAATTGTAACTCTGATCTCTACAACCACACTGCAAGGGACTACTCTTTGTCCACCACTACAGCTATCATTTCTCACAGGAAATAATTGTCCTGAACTAACGTCCTTGCCCTTTTTCTCTGGGTACCTAGAGCACATAGCTATGTGTTTTTTCTTGATTGTTTTAGCCTTTGAGGTGGTAAACTATGCTGTAGAAGGCTCCTAAAGTTTCGTCTTACAGTGTGCAGAGGGAAGTTTCCTAGTGAGAGTAAAGAATCCATGGTCAGGTGTAGTTCATACACCAAGTTGATTGAAGATTAATTAATCCCAGTTGCGGCCATGGGCAGAGGACAGTTCTGGGATGGTAAAAGCTATTTCTGCCCTCGAAGAGTTAACAGTCAAATTGGAAACACAATGAGTTATGTACAGCAGATAATAGTCCAGTGAACTCAGACCCTAGCAGATTCCTAGGGTGGCACAGGTCAGGAGACCTTCCCGACTGTCTTTGGCTTGCAGGTTGAGCAGCTCTTTGATGGTAGCACCTCAGGGCTTTGGCACTTTCACACCTCTTAGTGACTAGGTATTGCCCTGTGGTCTTTAAGGGCACTGTTCCTGCAGGATGGGCATGCCCATCTCTCCAAAAATAAAAGCTCCCATTATACAGAAAATTAGCTTAGAAATGGCAAAGTATTTTGGAGCTGTCTCTTTTGCAAACAAAATTAAAAGGAAGGAGCATCACTTGCAGTAGCACTGTGAACAGGATTTAGGACATGGTATTCTCCATGCCACCACATTGCTGATAATTCATGATATCACTGGAAGAAACAGGAAGACCTTGTGGAAGTTAGGGGACAGTGGAATGGCCAGCTCTGGCATAGGAAGGGCTCAGGGACAATAAAATGGTACCAAAAGGAGGCTTGGTGTCTTGGGTCCACCTCTTTTGGCTGCCTCTAAGCCAAAGCTCTACGCTGTCCAGCCTCTTCAATGACCTCTTCCCAGACGGTCCCTGCTTGGTTGTATGTAACCTGTGGGGACACTGACCATGATTTTGCTCCTTCTGAAGTCTTTGTCTTCTGGGCACCTGCGGAACCAATGACTTCAGTCTCTCTCCTTTTGCCCCAGCCATCCCTCAGTGTGAACGCTCCCCATGGGTTCTCTCAGCTTCTGTTGACTCCAGAAGTGGCCTTCATTCTGTCATCGTCTGTCATCTGTTGGCCGATGCCACCACAGCTGTTCTCCTGACTTTCAGACATGTATCTCCACCTCCTAACTGGAAAGCTTTGGTGTTCTACAGAGTCCTCATCTTTTCAAAGCCAAATTGTTTTTCCCCCCTTTGGTAAACCTGTTTTTTCTTATCATCATCTATCTTAGTTGTCGTATTTCCCCATCTTCTAAGCTGTGAATGTCTATGTTGTCTTGGATTTCTGCCTTATGAGGTAGACCCACACACCAAGACCTGTGGACTCTGCTGTTTAGTATCCTTAGAACTTTTCCTTTTAGTTATCCTGGCTCATGCCCTTGTCACCTGTCACTCATCTGTTTACCTTAACCACTCACCTGGACTTCTTTTCTCCCACTTTCTACTCCCACCTCCACACTCCAGCTCCATCCTATAGTTATCTCTATAAAACTCTGGTAAGACCACGCCATGCTTCTTACAACCTGCCCCTCCCCAGTCCCTCCCACCTGATAATTCTTCTTTGCTGTAACTTCAAGTTCTTCCTTTGACCCTAGTTCCTGCCTCTCTCACCCCGCTCTTGTCCTGGGACTGTCATGTCAAAGCCATGTGCTTCCTTTCATGGCAATGTTTCTTGGCTTGTGTCCAATTTCTTGCCTAGAATGTCAAAGCCTTCTGGCTTTTCTTTTTTGCCTGGCAAACTCCTGTTTGTCCTTCAAGACTCATTTTAGATGGCATTTTCTCTAAATGACATTTTCTGTCTTACCCTTGCAAAATTAATGACTTTATCTTTTGGCTGTCATGGCACTTCACTGTCATAGCCCTTATCACCTTGCATTGTAGAAGTGCCTGTGTCTGAGTACACTCCACGTAGTCTGTGAGCACCTAAAGGCTGAGGATTATCTTACTTCTGTGTCCTTGTACCCAGGAGAGTATCTGCATGCTGTAAGCAAATTATGAATATCTGTTAGGACTTGTATTATTTACAGAAGTCTTATCATGGATTTTCTTATCTGGGTAGTTAGTATTCAAAAAAAAAAAAAAAAAAAAAAGCGTGCCTAGCTCTCAGTGACATTTCTTTCCTCTAAAGGGACTCACAACATGCCTTTGGTCCCCTAGTGTCCAGGGAGGAGTGCTATTGCTCTCATACCATCAGCTTAGCCTCAGCGGCAGCCAATCTGACCTCTAGGCAAAAGATTAGACATGAGCCATGAAAATAAGCACATGGCTTTGACATGACAGTCTCGGGACAAGAGCATGTGGAAGAAGCAGGAACTAGGGTCAAAGGAAGAACCTGAAGTTACAGCAAAGGAGAATTATCAGGTGGGAAGGATTGGGGAGGGCTGGGTTATAAGAAGGGTAGTGTGGTCTTATCAGAGTTTGCAGGCCCTCTCACCCAGCCTTTACTTTTTTTTTTCTTTGTTTAATTCGTTTTTAAAATTTGTTCTAATTAGTTATACATGGCAGTAGAATGCACTTTGACACCTCATACATAAATGGAGTATGGTTTTTCATTCTCTGGTTGTACATGATGTAGAATCACACCAGTCATGTAGTCATTTATGTACACAGGGTAATAATGTCCAATTCATTCTACTATCCTTCCTACCCCAAACTCCCTTGTCTCCCTTCACTCCCTTCTGCCTAATCCAAAGTAACTCTATTCTTCCTTATCCACCCGTAATGTGAATTAGCATCCAAATTATCAGAGAAAACATTCCTGCGTTTATGTTACACAGTAGCAAAATGGAATTTATTGAGATCCCCTTCAAAATCACTATTACATTAGACTCCTATAATAGTCATTAGCTACTTGTTATAGATTTCCAGATGCCATAGGATAAAGACTTCTCCAGTTATCCTCAATTTCATGAAATAAAAAAAGTTTTAATCCTATATTTCTCAGTTCCTGCAGATAAAAAAGGTTTTCTGCAGTACACTCGTTTGTACTTAAACACAAGTCCATTGGTCATTTATGTAGATGTTTACATAAGTAAGGGATGAAGATGCTCATTAATGAAGCCTCTCCTGGAGAATAGGCAGGTAGGAGGGTCCCTGGAAAGAGCACTGTGCTTAAAGTCTAAAAGTTTGGGTCTTGGGTGTAGTGCTTTAATTCTGTTGTGCTTTAATATTTTCCTTATGTGAAGTGGACATAATGATCATAGCTATTAAAATAGCATATCAAGTGTAAGAGGCTTATGTTATGGTTAAATTAATCTCTTCCTAATATTGATATAGTGGGACTTTTACAAGGTGACATCACATGGTCTGATATTGCCCTTGGAATAGTGATGCTGCCCTTGGAAGGCAGGTGGGGAGCAATATGGATTCCAAAGTTTGGTAGACATGAAACTTGAGATGCAGGAAGCCTGCCCTGAAGGAAGACATAGCCTCACACTTGAGTGTGATAGAACCATTATTACTAAGACACCAGCATGAATGTCACTTTAATGCCAGTTCTTTCTTATAGTTTGAAAAAGAACTCCAGAGAATTTCAGAAGCCTATGAGAGTCTGGTGAAGTCCACTACCAAGCGAGAGTCACTGGACAAGGCCATGAGAAATAAACTGGAAGGCGAGATCAGAAGACTTCACGATTTCAACAGAGACCTCCGAGGCATGTCACCCTCTCCTTATGATCTCTCCACCCTAAACTACCTGTGCAGTTAACAGCCTCATTCAGGGCCAGATTGCTGTTCTTTCATTAGATGATCTTGTAAATTCCAACCTTCTGGGAAGGGAAAAGTGCTCAAAGAGCAGAATCATTCTTTTCTTCTTCGTGGGTTGTAGGTTGCAGCATGGAATCTTGGAAGTGAACCTGCCTGCCTGAGGCTGTGGAAGCAGGGAGTCTGTGTGCAGCTCCACTTTGCTTTTACTCAATAGTGACTCATGACTGTGTGAATAGGAATGTTTAAAAAGACCAATGTGGGAAGCACAGCCCTTTCCACATCAGGCTGAGTCTTTGGGTAGTGTTCTTTGCAAGCCAGCGCTTCATTTACTAGGTATAATAGAAAGACAGAACTAGACATATGTTCCTCCTGCAGGGCGGGGGAGGGCCACAATTGTGAAGAGTGTAAACATATGTCCTCCCTGAAGGAAATTATCCACCTGCTGCAGGGTCTTGGCAACCTCCAACAAGCACAGTGATTTAACCCATAAAATTTTGCCTCATGTTCAGCCAGCCAAGCCGTTTTTCAATTGCGTCAACTCAACTGAATTTTTCAGTTGACAACTCAATGCGCTGGTTGTCACCAGTAGCTAGAGCCTACTTTTTGAGATACTACAAACCTTTTTGTGTGGGATATCAAATATATCCAATAAATACTTACTAGGCTGGATTATTTAATTGGATAAATTAAGATATACCAAATGGTTTGGGCAAACGAAACTTGCTATATACAATCTTCATTCATTGGGCTGTTTTAATTTATCTTGGTATTTGTTGCTTTTATTTATTTTATAGTTCTAAGATTCAGATAAGTAGTTTCTGGATAAAATATAGGGCTGATGGTCAAGGCTGGACTAGGTCTGGATTTGAAGTTATGAAGACTAAGCCTGCTTGGGAGAACTTCATCTCAGAGGCCGTGAAGTGTTTTTTTTTTTTTTTTTTTTCCCAGCCTGCCCCTACCTCACACTGCTGGTGCATTGTCTTTGCAGTTTGACTGAGTAAAGATACAGGATGGCATCTGAAGACTTTTCTTTTGTTATTTTGTTCTTCCCCAAGAATTGCTGAGTTTGGGGCCCTTGCCTGAGCATCTCTTCATATCCAGCTTCTGGTACCCATTTCATTTCTCCGTTGGATGATCACTTAAATCCATATGCATTTTTTTAAACCATGTCCTTGTTGTTTATAGATCGACTGGAGACAGCCAACAGGCAGCTGTCTAGCAGGGAGTATGAAGGACATGAAGACAAAGCTACCGAGGGGCATTATGCTTCCCAGAGTAAGTCTCTATGTTTATTTATCCCACAGTTGGTATTTTAAAAAACTGGAGGCCTGAGGAAAGAATTATAATAGTTTTAAGTATGTTTTATAACTGTGTGCTTTTTCTTAGCCTGCAACACATTGGGCCCAGATGAAGCCCTCCTACGTCTGCTCAAGACAAAGCTGAGATTGACTTATATTAGTTCAGAGATGTTTATTCTGTTCTTCTGACCTCAGTTCCTCTCTGTCTGTGTAATCTCCTCCAAGGAATAGCAACACTACACTACAGTCTTTCCTGGCATTCACTACTTCAAATAGATCACAACCCTTTTTCTCTAGGAAAGGGAGGAGGTGTGGTTCTCTGGACAGGTTGAGGAGTGCTAGATTGGCTGCCACTTGCCAGCATGTTAATCCCTCTGAATGATCACACTGTGTGTCTCCATACCTGGGGTTTATTTCCAGAAGCCACTGAACCCATTTCAGCCAGAAAAATGAACATGGGCTTTGTAAGCCTCTAGATTTATTGGGAGAATATTTTATTAATATTGCCAGAGGAAATTGATAGAATCAGAGGGACTTTGACAGATGATTGGTCAGGGATTGAATTTTGGCAAATTCATTGCACAAGCCAAAGATTTAAAAATTCAGTTGCATTTTTAAAAACTGTTTCAGAAACTGAATTCATAGCTGTATCATAACTCTCAACAGCATTATGAATATGTGCTCACAAACTACAGGAAAAACAACAACAACAACAAAAAGTGATGTACTCAGTGCCAGCCAGCTATCCTGTGATACTGTTCTGATGTGTGGGCTGTCAATGTGGCTCTGCGTTTTAAAGGCTGGGAAGTAATTGGTTAAATATTCTGAGTTTTAATTCTATTTGGTTGGGTTTAACTTCCTTTGTTTCCCACAGATTTACTCATGATTACATTCCAGTTTTTAGCCCATTCTTTATTTTTTAAATTCTGCTTTTGACAAGTAGACATTAACAGTATATAGGGATTTGGCCTCATATTCCTTTGTAGTCTTATAGTAGGTGATTGGTCTGTCCTCCAAGTTCACATGAAAATCTGTATCGACACTTTGAATTACCTGCTTTTCTCACAGAATTCATATTTTCTTATGGGTGTGATAGATTTACCATCTCATCAGAGCTTTCGCTTGAAAGGTGTCATCTGTGGGATTTGCATGCAGGATTTGGGCACCTTTTGGAGAACTGCATGCCTAAGGGTAGAGTAAGGTGTGTCAGCAGTGCTGGCTTTAGGCACTCTGCTGACCCTGCCTTCTTGGTGGGGTGCCAGCTGATCACTTGGTTCAGGTCAAACATAAAAAGCTGTCCATTTCACCTGATGGGCTTCTGTTTGATCTTCTGGCACAGGCTGGTGTGATGGAACAGTAAGTAGGGTTTGGAGCTGGGTGAGCTCAGACACATTCTTGAAGACTTTACTCTTTCGGCTCAAATCTGGAACATCAAGGATCAGACAATTCAACCCTTCCAGCTATACAGGCAATGGTTTGTTGTGGGTAAACTGGCTTCACTGTGTCTCAGAGGCATAACAAGAGAGACCAACTGCTTAGAGGTATCCCCCTGTTATGTGTGACATAATTGAATCCACGCAGTGCACTTGAAGCAGGCTTTGTGACTGTGATGTCTAACCATTTTTCCCACACCCAGCCTTCACAGGAAACTTTGTGCCTTCCTTGTAGCATTATAATTATTCATAGATGGACTTAGGATGTTATTTCAAATTTAAATACGTTTTTTCTTAATGAGTTCTGAAAACCTCTCGTATATTACAAAAATTACCATGCCACTCCAGGTATGTTGCAGATATTTTTCCCATTGTTTTTAATCTTTGATTATAGTATTCTTTGTCTTAAAGATTTTTTTCAGTAACCATATTTATGCCTTCTAGGATTGATGTGATGCTTAAAGTTACTTCTTCTTTTCAAAGATTCTAATGGTATTCACCAGTGTTTTCTACACATGAGTGTGATTTCACTGTTTACATGGTGTATATTTTGGAAGGTAGCTTGACACGCAGTATAGGCAAGTGCACCAGGGCTAACAAGGAAACTTGTTAACAGCCATTTTAATTTCTGGGTGAAAGATGTAGAAGGCCTGAACTAAGACAGTAGAAGTAGCAGTGAAGAGTAGGGGACAGATAAATGAGGGACACATTCATAGGACTTGTGACAATTGGATAATGACAGAGAGAAGTGAGTATGACTGGAGCAGCTGGATGATGGTCACCCTTCACCAGTACAACTCAGGAGAAGCAGGTTAGGGTTAAATAATGAGTGAAAGGTTTGAGCTGTTAAGTCATCTCACCCTGCAGCCCTTAGTTCAGTGAGCAGGTATAATGGCAGATACGGAGATACCCACAGGACTAGATGGCAGCCATCTCTGTCAGGCTTTCCCTTGAGCATGTGAATACAGAATGACTGGCATGAATCACCACCTCTCTTCATAGTTATTAATGTGTTCCTTTATCTGAATATTATTCTATTACTAAAATAAAAAGAATAGAATAAAATAGATTAAAAGAATATTAATGTTATTAGGACAAAGTTAATTAAGCCCTTAGTAATCATAATTATGAATATTCCCCACTTTTTCAGTGAGCCTTTTGGAATTCTAGCCCTTGGTTCAGAGAAAGGTAAGACAACATCGCAATGGTAATGACATGTCTGGATAGTACATACCAAGGATCTATAGGGCTAGATTGTGATGCCCCTGACAACCACTCTGGCATTGGAAAAGTCAGAGAGTAGGGGAAAGTACAGAATAATGTACTCTGCTTTTTTTGCCAGGTATTTGTGTAGATACTAGGTGTCTGAAGCCTAAGAGCACCCAAGTGACTCTTGCAACACGAGCAAAAGCTCTCTAAGTTAGTGGAGGGAGGAGATCCTTCCTGAAAAGATTTTTAAATTTCCCTTGGTAGCTTTTAAAACCCGAACTCTGCTCTTAAGTTGGAGCCTAGGAAAGCTGTGGTGGACTGCATAGGTAGCTACCACTTAGTGTTAAGGTTGAACGGACCTTGAACAGGTCTGTTGTGTTCCTCTCTGTCAAGAGAGTTGTCTGTGTTGAAAATCTTGTGGAGTTAAATGCTTAGGAGTTTTGATGACCTGGAGGCAACTTTCCCTTCATAGATTAACATTATCTTTGGAGGAATTCAAAGTTTTATTTATTTGTTTATTTTCTGGTTTTTCTTTTCTTTTTTTTTTTTTTCCAAGTGTTTTTGCAGCTTATAGGCTAGTGATGTTAAAGCCAATTGCTCCTGAAAAACAGGGCCTCTGGCCAATTCCTGTTTGGTTTGGCTGTGTGAAACTGGGGCTTCTTTGTCTTTTAACTTAAATGAGGCTCCCACTTTTTCCCATTCATCTCTCTCTCTCTCTCTCTCTCTCTCTCACACACACACACACACACACACACACACACACCAAAAGTAGGTTACTGTCTGCTGAAAACAGGGCCCTGGAAATGTCTGTCATTCTTAGCTATGTCGTCTTCTTAGTGAAACTTTTTAAAAATTATTTCTGAAAATTGATAACTGCAGAATTCTATCTGCTTTAGGCCAGAGAGCCAAAAATAAACTATTAGATGAGGACACACTAGACTAGTAGAGATGAAACTTCATTTTATTGAGTTTTTAAATAGACATGTCAGGCCTTGTTGCATACATTGCATGCTGAGCTAATCAGGCCATTCTAGTGGGACCTGATTAGCTCAGCATGCTTGTGTTGTGCTGGGATATAACCAAGTCACGTTTAAAGAATGTACAAGAATCTATTCCCTTGGGATTTTGAAGGTACCCAGGTTCAGCATACATGGTTCAATTCTGGCTATTAAATGATATGTCGCTCTAAGAAAAAAAGATTATTTGGGTATTTGGTGATTTGTTTAAAACAACATATTGATGAGTAATGGATACAAATGTGTCAGAACAATATATATCTGTTTTCCTTAAAATTCCTTTTGGTTTAACAATGAACAGAAAAAATGTGTGCAGCCACACTTTTTCTAAAACAACAATAATTTGCCATTTTCTTTTTTTTTAATTTTTTAGTTGTGTTGGACACAATACCTTTATTTTATTTGTTTATTTTTGTGTGGTGCTGAGGATCGAACCCAGGGCCTTGCACGTGCTAGGCAAGTGCTCTACCACTGAGCCACAACCCCAGCTCCTAATTAGCCATTTTCAATGTACCTTATAATCATCATTCTTACTCTTGAATCTTATTTTTAGACACTATAGTTTACTGTCTCTTATAGAATGTGAAAGAGTCCAAAATGATTTCCCAAATGAAAACCCTTCCGATTTTTGTATCTCTGTAAGCTCTTGTGTGAACCACAAAGCAGAAATGACTATGACATAAACATTTATTTTGTTGACCTACATAGAGCCATAAGGAGATTATTCTGAATCCTCATTGGATTTCATTACATCGAATGTCATGGGTTTCTGTCAGGCATCATTAGAAAAGAAGGTTAGATGTAACACGTGGGTGCCCTGGCTTACCTCTTCCTCCTCAGGCCAACCAGGGCTGGCAGCTCATCTTGACTCAGACTCCTTGGTGCAAGCTCCTGTTACAGCACTTTTATATTCTGTGGGGTCATACTGTCTGTGTGAATCTCTCCACCAGATGGGAGAAAGATAGGCATACTTTAATAATATCCACCCACACTAAAACAACTTGCATTTTTATGCACCTGGAACTTGATAAATGCTTCTTGAGGGAATGAATAAAACTAAAAAGTTCAGTAACAAGGTTGAAATTCTCCTTATGCAGCATCAATACCAAAACTTTCTTTTAAATTCAGTGTCTTCAGTCATGTGGGAAGATGCCCTAGTTTATACTCTGTTGCTTCAGTGAGCTAGGTGAAATTATTAAAATAACACTGTTACAATAGAAGTAACTTTAAAACACCCAAATTTATTTATTTATTTTTTTGTTTTTCTCTTTTCCTTCTTCCTTTTTTCCAAGTAGAATATCCAAGGGAGAGAAATTTTT